TTTTGTTTTTTAAGTACGGGAAATTAATAATAAGAAGAAGAATAAGAATAAGAATTAAAAAAAAAAACATCGAAAGAAAGTGTACAAAAAAAAAAAAAAACAATAAAAAGAGAGAGAGACATTTCTCAAGAGCTGATATGAGTCGTTTCTTGAATCGTTTCATCGGAACAAGCAAAAAACATGCAACCAGCTGCTACTAACAAGAAGCTGGACACTGAGAGAGGATTAATAGGTGTGGACAAACCTTCCCGCTGAGCGCGCTCAGAAGAGTGTTTGAGAGGAGGTGTGCACGTCCGAGTGTAAGAGAGGCCGGAAAGAATGCCTCAGAGACACCCTCTCTCACAGCAGCCCCAACCAAGCAAGAGAGAAAACAACAAAAACATAACTGCTCACACTCACCATCAAGGTCAGTAGCTCACGTTACTCGAGTTGTTATAGCCGGCAAGTGTAAAGTACAGTACGGGGTTGTTGGGTGCTCACGGCTCAAAGGCAGCATTTGCAGTTGGCGACTGGCATGCACAAAAAAAAAAAATCGAGGTATGCTCGAGGGGGGGGCGGGAAGAAGAGGCGCAGCTTCCTCGAGCCACGCCGCGACGCAGCCCTGCTCCTGCTCTGCTCGAACGCCTCCCGCCGTCACCCAGCCCGCCCGGAGCGGAGGTAAAATGCTGCCGTGCTGCCGGGCCAGCATTTTCACCACCACCCCCGTGGCGAGGTGCCAGTGACGTCCCAGGAGCCAAGCAGCAGAGGACCAGGGCCTTACCATGTGCATTATCATCGGTACTTTATTCTCCAGTCACGAGGGAGAAACGGGGGGAGCCGGAAACTCGGAGCCCGTCAGCTTAAAAAACCGCCCCCCACCTTTCTGCCGAATTTCGGTTGCCATTTCCCCCCCACACTCCAGAGATTTTTTTTCCCCATGCTTTTCCTGGATTGCAGACAAAAATCGGTGGAAAATATGCCAGGCGAGATTAAAAGACAAGTGACACTGATAGTGAAGTTGTCTCCGAGGAGTTTGCAGCGTCGAGGCTTTCAAGCTTGCTAATTTGCCAGAACTCAGGGCCCAATTCATTAAAAAAAAATAAAAAAAAAATACAAGGGCAGATGAAGTCATCCAAGCTGGATTTTGCCATGCA